GAATGAATGAATGAATGAATGAATGAATGAATGAATGAATGAATGAATGAATGAATGAAAGTTCCTACTCGATGGATGTCTGCAATATATAATATAAGAATATAAATGATTAAAGAACAACATTTTACTTGCTTATTTCTTCCTTTCAATGCCTTGAAGATGTTTAATGCATCTAATATTTCCACTGATATAAATGGCAACTGTTTCATAGCATTATTGAGTTCATACTTGTTACAGTGATCAGTTTGACTAATCCAGCATTTGATCTATTAGGAAAACATTGAAAAACTTGCCATGCAATGTCAAAATCCAGGTGAAAGTGAGCTGGTTATTCTGCAATTTCTTAAATCATTGGTTGAAGAAAAGAATCAAGAAACAGATCATCCGAATGAACAAATTATGAGACTGGAATATACTATAGAAAACATGGAGGGAAATGAGGTAACGAGATTTTATATTTAATAAAGAGATTTTATATACTCCAATGTTTAATGTTAAAAGATTTCCTTAAAAGTGCAAATAATAGACAATGGGTGGCTTCTACTAGTTTTCCTGTATTACAAGCTTTTGTGTAGATTTCCAAATACTTTTTACGATGCAAGTGAAATGATAATTACATGCATTCATTCAAAAAATACAACTTCAGCTACCTCGTGACTGCAGTTTCTCAAAGCATAACTGGTGTCTGGGTTGATCTTTGTCTTATCTACATACGTATTTTAATATTGGTACTGACATTGCTGTATTATTATTATGAATGTTATTTTTTACTTGATCTGTACAAGAAATAACCATACATTTCATAAGTGACCATGGTTTTATTAATTAGTTACTTTAAGCTTTAAGGAACTGACTTTGTGTCCCAATAGTTGCCATATTTTTTTTAAAAAATGACTCATAAGAGGGCAATAAGGATGGCAAGGGACGGTAGATATGATATGATAGCACTTTTCAAATACCTGAAAGGTAGTCATGCAGAGGAGGAACAGGATCTGTTTTCGATCATTCCAGAGTTCAGGACACACAATAATAGGCTCAAGCTACAGGAAATCAGATTTAGGCTGAATATCAGGAAAAACTTCAGAAGTGTTAGAGTAGTACGACAATGGAACCAGTTACCATGGGACATGGTCAGCATCCCAAAGCTGGAGGCATTCAAAAGAAAATTGGACAACCATCTGTCATATCTGCTTTGATTTAGATTCCTTCATTGAGCAGGGGGTTGGACTTAAAGATCTTATAGGCCCTTCCAACTCAATTATTCTATGATTTCTAGATGGCCGATGGGAAACTTTATTGAAATCTTCCGCCCTCTCCTTAGCACAATGTGGGCTTACATTTTCTTTCCTAAGGTTTTGGGAATAAATGAACACAATCATTTTTCTTGTAGGTGGTTTGTTTTCAATGACATAGACTAAGAAAGGGTTAGTTTTTTGTGGCTTGTTTCTGTGGTTGTTTTCCTTTTTCTCTTCTGTTTCTTGTAAAAGTCAGGACCATGCACATGAAAGAAACAAAAAGCTATGGGTCTTTCTCATGGGACTCAGATTCTGGAGACAACATGAATTCAGTTTAGCATGATGGTAAATAGAAAGGCCTCAACTATTTGTTTTACCCAAAATGAAAAACAGGAGGAGAGCCCACCAAAAAATAGTACTTTGCATAGAACAAAAACATTTTTGTACCTTTTAGCCAAAAAACAAATGCCAAGTCAGTTTGTAGACATTGAAATACAAGTACAGTTCAACTACTATCCATTAATTTAAAAATAAGAAAACATTTCTCTTGTCAGAATTAAGTTTTATGCATATTGGTGTTTCAGATCCTAGAAAACAAAGTACTTGAAATTCAGGACACAAAATCAATTATAGAGCATCTCCATGGTGACAAGGAACAATTATTAAGGGATAAAACACAAGAAGTAAAACAGCTCAATAGAGTAACTGAGAAACTTCAAAAAGAGTTAGTTCTTCTTGCAACCATGTGTCAAAAAGCTGATGACAGACAAGACACTGTTAATAGTTGTTCTGTGGTGCAGCCAGAAGATAATTTTCTAAATGAAACAAAGAAAGGATCACTGGTGAACAGAGGTGAGGAAAATTGTACATCACTTAATCCCAACAAGAAGCAGTTTCAAGATCACTTAGAAATTGCTATGGCAGGCAAAGAAGCTTTGCAACAGCTTCTTGAAGAAGACAATAATCTGTTTAAAACACAAGTAAAAATCCTGGAACAAAATCTTCAAAATGTTCAGCAGTCTTCTACAGAGCACTTTACCAAGCTGACAACTTTACAGCTACAGTATGAAGATTTACAAGAGGAACACAAGCTGCTGAAGAGCTGTTTAACATACACACAAACTGAACTGAGGATATGTAGTGCTCATATTCGGGAACTGGAAGATCGTCTGCAGGACAGACAGGCAGTGCTTTCAGAAAAAGAGCTACAGCTTCAAAGAGTGTTAGAACAGAAAGCAGTGGAAGTACAGCATGTAAAAGAAAACGTTGAGCTTGAAAATGAACTCTACATCTTAACACAAACACTGCATGAAAAAGAGGCTTTTTATCAGAGACAGATTAGTGAACTTCAACTTTCTATTGGAGAACTGAAGTTACAGATTGAGAAAAAGGTGGAAGAACTAGAAGCATTGAGGTCTGAAAGAGATCTCTTTTACTCACACTTGAAATCCTACATCAAAACACCTCAAGATATTAATCAGAAAGAAACTAAACTTCATAAGGTGGGTCTAAAACATGACACCCTTGTTCATTTTGAAGAAAAATATGAAGGAAAAGAAGAGAGAAAAGCAATTAACATACCATCAATATCTGCTGTACCTTCTTATGGAGACAAACTGGTATGTATTTTAATGCTCAGATACTGGTTAAAAATAAAACAAGATAATAATCATTATCATTTGACTTATCAAGAGAAACTAAGATGTGCAGGGTGTCATTTGGTAGCTGTCAGGTGTACAGATATACAGTTTAGAGGTAGTGTATTCTACATTCCCAAAGGGGAAGGATTGATCATCATTGCATCGGCTTCACAAACTAGCACTCCTATACTCACAGACTAGGGTAAATGAAAGTCTGTACATAGCACAGGCAATCCATATCTCTGTAACTGTATCTTTGGAAGCTTTTAAGTTCCAAGTTCTGACACAGAGACCCATGGGTGTTGAATCGGGCTTACTCGGATTTATTTATTTAACTTCTATACTGCACATCTGGCTACCAAGGCCACTCTGGGCAGTTCACAGCATGATAAAGCAAACAACAATTTAAGAAACAAAAACACAATTATAAAAAACCAGAATTAAACATCTCAATTCACATACACAGAAGACAATGTCAAAATAACTAAAACTAAATTTAAAAGGCAAGATGGCAAGACAGGTAATATAAGTGCTGAAAAAGCTCTCTACTGGTCCAAAAAGTATGTTTAACGGTTATTACATAGTCCTATTGAAGATCTATGCTGGTATGAAGAGTGGCTCCTTAGTTTATATCAAGAGAATATGTGTAGTTAAAGAAGATAATATTGGATGGCTTGGTGCCGTATGCAAACTGACATTCCATTTTTCCATTCCACCGTTGAATCACAGTAGTTATAGCCAAATGAGACCCAGAATCTATTGTAACAGTATGGTGAATATAACAATGAATTTTTATATGTTCATCCCAGATTAATAAGTAAACAAACCTTTCTATATTGGATAAATTAGGCATGATAATAGAAGCATACATTATCAAACTATGAAAGGCTTAGTATTCAAATTATATACAGTGGTGCCTCGCAAGACGAATTTAATTCGTTCCACGGTTAATGTTGTCTTGCGAAAAATTTGTCTTGCAAAATGCACTTTCCCATAGGAATGCATTGAAATCTAATGAATTTTTTCTCTTTTATTTAAATCCCGCCTATCTGGTCGGTTAAGACCACTAATTAATGCATTCCTATGGGCAAAAAAAGTCAGAACAAAGTCAAATTTGGTTTACAAAGGATTTATTAAGTGCTCTTTAAAGCCATACATATTGTGCAGATGATTTAAAAAATTTCAATTAAAAAAACTTTAACTCTTTAAACATAGAAAAACATTTAAAAATCAGCAAACATGAGGCAGGAACAAAAAATGGAAAACATTTGTCTTGCGGAGCATGGCCATAGGAACATTTGTCTTGCGAGTCATCAACCCCCCCCCCCAATTGCCAAAACCATTTGTCTTGCAAGTTTTTTGTCCTGCGAGGCATTTGCCTTGCGAGGCACCACTGTAGTTGTGAACATTATAAATTATAATTATACATTATGACTTAGATTATAACACATTAAAATTTATAAATGATACATTGAATTGTAAAACATAAATTAAGAACACTACTTACTCATCAGAAACTGAGTACACTCTGAGAATGGTGTCATAGGACTACCTACTTTTCCACTAGAGAATGAGACAGTTGATGATAGCCCCTGATGAAGGAATGCATTTTTGTCATGTATCACAAAAGCAACATTTGATGGGTTTATGTGACAGATTAATCATTACAAGCTATGTGGAACTGTAAGGTAACCCTATTCTTATTTCCAAAACACTATCATTTCCAGTCTCCTGTTCTAATTGTAGGGATCCAACACATTTCTTTCGGATATAGTAGCCAACCTTTTAATAAGTAGACAGCAAGATTCATTTTGCTTGCTTCTGTGAAATAGGAAGCAAAGTAAGTAGAATCTATCTTGTACTTACCTCCCAGGAAAGAAGTTTTTATTTCTTATATTCTCTGTTTCATCTTATTCCCCCAAATGTCCACCTAAATGTTATTAACTCAAGTTGGGATTTAAGAAAGTCAGAATAATTCTGTTAATGTAGCTTTTTCATATCCTTAGTTTGTTGAACAGATTTGGCTGTGAGACTAAAGGTGATGAAAACTATTTTAGAAAGATAGGTTTATAAAAAAACCTGACTGCTCTTGCACAGAGACCCAGTCTGAGGTATAGTTGCTGTTACCTGAATGGCAGGTATCAGAGAAGTCCTGTGTGTTGGGAAGTACTTTGCTTCTCTTCACAGATTTTTGTCCCCTGTGGATCATCCCACCCCTTCAGTAGCTAAAAATGGAGACTTAGCTACTGAAGTCTCTGTACTTAAGCTACAGAGACTTTTTTCTGTGTGTGTCTGGGGGGGAGATAATGAAAAGCCCCCTCTGTTTTATGTGGATTTCTCATGTTTCTTGCTTAGGCAGATTAATGGAAGTCTGTGTTATTTTGCAGGTGAAAAATACAATAACTCATCTGAAGATGTCCAGCAAAAATCATAATATTCAGGATAAACATCTACAAAGTAAGCTTTGTATTCAAGAGGAAAAAATAACTGAAGAACAGCAAAACCTACAATTAGTTTGTCAAGAAATGTGGCAGCTTAATCAACTTTCCCAAAACACACAGTTTATTCAAAAGATGTCAGATGAGATTCAAAATATAATAATTGATGGGACTGCATGGGACTCACCTGAGATTTTAAGAAAAGAGAACAGCATGGAGCTTTGGTCAAATCTTGCTGTAACACCTTTCTCAGAAGTTGATAGTATGCACAGCATAGACTCTGAAAGCCTGTGTTCTGAGCACCCAGTTGTTCCAAGTGATATCCTTGGAAGTGTGGAATGGCCTGCTTCTTACTGCAATGACAATGAGGAAACAGCAGCCAGTTTCATTTTCCAGTCTTCAACAACCCCAGGACCTACCTTTTCAGTTTCTTACTACAGTGATGTGCAAGAAAATATTTCAGTAAGTGATTTCTTATTTTGTAACATGTAATGGCTTACTGCTGAGTCATGTGTCCTCTGTAGTTCCCGTGGAAACTAAATGAGTGAAGAATAATAGCTACTGTGTCATAGTAATCAGCTCTTCCCATTTTATTATGAACTCCAGTCAGTAAGGTAAATGTAATTCTGAGATACTTTGCAGTGCCCTTTTAATAATTAGTATGTAAGTGACCAGCTTTCTTGCAGGTACATAATCCTTAAGCTATACAAGTGATTGAACTGAAGTATATTTTGAGAGATCTGATGTGAGAAATATTGTAATATAATGCTTCAGCTGTAGGATCACTCTGTTGAACTGTCAGATCAGTGTAACATCTTCATACGGGGTAGTGTACTGTATCTGGGCTAGAAAAACAGCCCTGCTAGATCACACTAAAATTTACTTTATTGTGCATGTGCTTTCCTGAAGTGGGCTAGGTTCTGAAATGTCCAAGATGCACTCTTTGACCAAATAATAAGCATATAATTACTCTGACCTGTGTGAGATAGGAGGGGATGCAGGTCTACTTCTTTGTTTACAAAGTGAAAGGAAAAAAAAACAAAGCTTCAAGCAATCTGAGGCAGTTTACAAGTTAATTATGCAGGCCCCCATAGCACTTAAAGCACTCTCTGGGTGGTTTATAAATTAATTATGCAGGCTACACCTTGCCCCCCCCAAGCGAGCTGGGTACTCATTTTGCCAACCTTGGAAGGCTAGAAGACTGAGTCAACCTTGAGCCAGATACCTGGGATTGAACCCCAGGTCGTGAACACAGTTTTGGCTGCAGTACAGCGGTTTAACCACTGCACCAGATGGGCAAAGGAATGTAAGGAAAAAACTATGCTTCACTGCTGTTAAGAAAGTGCAGCTGTTCTCTAAACTCCTTTCCTTCTTTGTTCTAAGGCCCTTGCTGTCCAAGGAAATCAGTGACTGGAGGAATTGTTTAAAATCCTCCTTGTGACTAGAAATTGAAGGAAACTTGGTTTGGGCAAAAAAGTGTGCATAATAAGTGATTTTCTCTTCTGAAATTGCTGGAGCGGGCAGAGATACTGGAGAATACGTGTGGAGTTAGTGTTCCTCAAACAGGCTTGCTTGGTGAAAATAACCTGAAATGCTGGACCACGAGGCACCTGCCACTTACTAAGCAGTTTTCTTGTTCCTGCTTCTTCAAAAAGAAAATGTGGGTTTTGCCCACAGAGGACAAGAATCAAAGGACAGGGCAGAGCTATTTCCTACAAGGGATTAGTATGTCGCTTCATGCTTCATCTTGGCCCTCTTTTGAATCTCCCACTCATCTTCAGGGCAAACAGGGCTTGCCTTTTCCTCTCCCCTCACCAGATTTCATATAGATCAATTTTCAGAATTGGGAGTAGTTGGTTAGTTGCTTGGGAGCAGCATATCAGTGGCAGAGGTAATGCTTGAGATCATGATTTGTAACTGCTTTTCACGCCATGCTGCATTAGATGTTCAGTCCTGCAAGTTGACTGTGACTCTTAATATGCCAGTATAACATGTAGAATTCCTGAGCAGTGCTTTTATGAATACTTTGTAGAATAACAAGCATAACAATAATTGCCATCTTGCGGTCTGTCTTCTTACAGCTTTACTCAGAATTGGCTTCCTGCATGTAGGGTAAAGGGTTTCTCTCCCTGCCCCACTCCACAGGTTCTGTATCCAGAGTTAAAGAGACAGTTTATTATGCATGTACTTTTTAGTGTGTTGATTTGGACACAGTTTAATCATTTTTGGGACTGGACTGTGGGCTGTTTATTAAGTAACTGGCATAGAATACTGAAATGGAAAATGGAAGTAAACACCTGAACAGTCTGAGGAATACCCTAGTATAGTCAACGTTTAAGACTGAATTCTTATGATTTCCCAGTACTAGATCTTTGAAGTGGGTTGGGCCAAAAAGAAAGGAGTCTCTTTTTCAGTCTCAGCACATTCAAATACCCTTGATTACTGGGGAATTTATGGATTTATCCCCCACCACAACCTTGTTTTTATCCTCTATCAAGGCAGCAGTAGTGATGGCTTTTTTATAACCTGTGTCTCTAGTCCCGGCCCTTCTGGTATTTGCTTTATTGCTTCATTTCTAATGAAGACTCTTTGGCTTCACTGATTCTGAGGGAGGTCCTTCTGAGAGCCCTCTGCTTCCTGTTTCCCGAGCAATGTGTCCTGGAAGCCTCTAGCAGTTGCAATTGCTCTTTAAAATAGGTTAACAGCTTTCTCATTTTTGTTTTTGAACCAAAACCCACCAGCCTGTCATACATTTACTAAAGGAAACTACAGTATCAAGATACAGTGGTGCCTCGCATAGCGACAATCGGTGCAGCAAAAATCGCTGCAAAGCAATTTCGTCGCTATGCAATTTTAAAAAGCCCATAGGAATGCATTGAAACCCCTTCAATGCATTCATATGGGCTTCAGACCCACCTTTAAGTGAAAATCCTCCATACGGCGGCCATTTTCGCTGCCCGGTAAGCGAGGAATCCGTCCCAGAAAACAGCGGGCGGCCATTTTTTTACCCAGTGGCCATTTTGGAACCGCCGATCAGCTGTTAAAAAATCATCGCTTTGCGATGATCGGTAAGCGAAACAGGGTACCGATCATCGCAAAGCGATTTTTCCCCATAGGGAACATCGCAAAGTGATCATAAAAGCGATCGCAAAAAGTTAAGCGCTATGCAATTTCATCGTTAAACGGGGCGCCTGTTAAGCGAGGCACCACTGTACATAATAATTACACCTCAGCCTTTCTATATCAGCAAATCAGGATGGTGTTAATTTGTTTGGGCTCCACAAACAAGCTGCAGTATTTGATTGATGGGTAGAGTGTCTGATCTGATGCATCAAAACCAGAGTCTCATTTAGAAAACATGAAACAAGAATTATTTTTTAGACAGTATCTTCTGTTCTTTGGGAGAAAGTGGGAGCTTCCTTGTCCAGATGTCTCAGGCTAGGGTTTTTAATTTTAAAAGCTCTTACCTTTTTCTTCATGGTCTCTGTGAATCCACATGAATGGGTTTACTGTGCCTACACAGGACTCCTTGGAATCTTCTAGAGCTTAAAAATGTGTGATTAGTAGGACATTCTCCCATAGTGCACATGCTCCGCCCACCCATAATACCTCAGTTCCTTTTAGCTGCTATTGAATTAGGACTCCTTTAGCAACTACTAGAGCAAACTTCTATTTCTTTATTATTATT